GGAGTTGGAGAGGATTGGTCTAGCAAGCCTTTAGCCTTAGTACAGGTTACATTCTCTTTACTCTAACATTCCCTTATACCCCTTTCTTTTATGGACACTCATTCTTACTTGAGACTCACACTCTTTGTTTCTTTATCTTACTTTGATTAATACCTTTTATTCTTACCTACACTCCTTATACTTACCCTTCATTATTGCTTCTTAAAGCAAGTGACTGAGGACAGTTACTATTTAAAGCTTGGGGAGGTGAAGAGTTCTGATTTTAGTTACTATCAGATCTTCTTGATTTTATTAATTCTTTGGATTACATAATCACTTTCTTCATGTAGTTAGTTCTTTCCTATTTGGAATAAAGGAGAGTTTTGACTAGAGCCTACAACAACACTAGAGGGAACAAGCCCACCAAAACCTTGCCTCTCAACATTCTAAAGGATTAGAAGCTGTAGGAGGACATTGTCTAAGCTCATCACAACAATCCAACTGTAGAACATCTAGGCTAACACAAAACACAGGAACTCATTACTTAGAACTACTAGTAGTCTAGAATACAGAGGGAAATCCTAAAGTATGTGACTAGTTACAATATGTGCTAACAGACTAAGGCCTACTAGACAAGAGTTTGGGCTCTCTTACATTCACATTAGATCCTGGATCACTCTTAGGAAGAAGTCTCAGTAGACCTGATTAGTAAGCTACCCAAGTCTTAGAGTTACAATACTATCTGTGTGATTGTTAACTAATTCTCTAAGCAAGTCTACACAGTTCTGACCTGAACAGAACTCACTTCTAAAGACATAGTGTGTATCTATTAGGATCATGTCTTCTGGTTGTACAGACTCCCTTAGAAGCTTATTCACAATTGTAGACTACAATTTGAGTTGAAATTCATACAGGACTTGTATGTGCTTCTCAGAATTCAAGGGAACCCTTCTACTGTATATTACCTACAGACTGACAGTCAAACTGAGCAAGTCAATCAGGAGATTGAGCTCTACCTTTAGATGTTCATCAATCATTAGTAATCAGATTGGTCTGAATGGCTAGCTCTGGCAGAATTTGTGTACAATAACTAGTAACACTCTATAACAGGACAGTCCCTGTTCTTCCTTAATTATAGGAGACATCTGTACTAGAGAATAGTTCTGAACCAGAACAGTAGTTCTGAATCTGTAACAGACTTTGTAGAACAGATACACAAAACCAGGGAGGACACACAAGCTCTTTTAGAAAAGGTAGCACAGGTTATGAAGTAGAACTATAATTAGAAGAGGTCTGTAGCCAAGGATTACCAGTCTAGTGACAAAGTTATACTAGAAGCTACTAACCTGACTATAGATTGCCTAATAAAGAAGTTGGACAATAAGTACTTCAGACCCTTTGTTATTAAAAAGAAGGTTAGTGCCTCTGTCTACAAACTCCAACTTCTAGCAACATAAAAGTGTATACACTCAGTGTTCAACAAGGTTCTACTGTCTTAGTACTATAATCCAGGTTTTCCTTTGTAACAAAGACTCCTACTACCTCTACTAGAACTCATTGGTTCTGAACCAGAATACAAAGTAGAGTATATAGTAAATGCTAAGCTAGTGTGTGGAAAGCTCAAGTTCCTTATCTACTAGAAAGGATACTTAGTTGAAGAACACACTTGAGAACCTGCTGAGAATCTTACCTATACTGCTAAGACAATCCAAGACTTCTATTGACTTTATCCAGGTACTCTGTATCAACTCTGCCTCACAGATTTCCAAACCCTACCATTCTGACCTATACTCAAGCTACTAACCAAGCCTAATGTTCACCAATCAGGATGATTGGTTTTAGAGGAGGGGTAATGTTACAGTTCTCTACTCTCATACCTTCAGTTCTGGGTTACTGTGTGAATCAGCCTGTATATAGTCTATATACTAAACACTTGAGGGATAGAAGTCCTAAGTTCTAGGATGGAAGGTAACAGAACTGACAGAACTTGTTAGTAACAGTGTAGAGGGGACCTGAAGGCTCAGTGAGGGGACCCAGGCTACAACTATCCTACACAACAGAAATACAGAATGTAAGCACTAGAACATAGTCAGAACTTGCAGAACAGGTAGAGAGAGAGAGTGAGACAAGAGTAGAGTATATAGAGTGAGCCTAAAAGTACAGGACTACCTAGAGTAGACAAGATCAAGACTACAGGACCAGTCTCATCTTGTACACCTATATATACTAAACTACATAAGAGTACTCAGAGAGTATGAGCTACTAAGAATGATAAACTATAAAGAATGAAAGAAAGGAATGTCAAAGATAAAGGTATAAAGAATGAAGGGATGGACAAAGGGTAAGAGACTATAGAATGAACAAAGAATGAAGGGGTGGTTAAAGGAATGGAATGATGAAGTAAGGAAGGGTAGTAGTAAGAGTCAGTATGTATATAGTCTATAGACAGTACTCCTGAGGGACAGAAGTCCTGAGTTCCAGTATAGAAGGGTGCAGAACCCTTATACTACTATTCCTTTCTACCTTGTTGTTCCTTTCCTTTGTCTACCCTTTTATTCTTTGTTTATTCTAAGGTCTCTTACTCCTTACTCTTTCATTCCTTCATTCTTTGTTTGTATATCTTTGACCTTTTCATTCTTCATTCTTTATAGCTTATCCTTCCCTAAGTACTCTTGTGTAGTTTAGTATATATACATGTACAAGATCAGACTGGTCTAATAGTCTTGATCTTGTCTACTCTAGATAGTCCTGTACTCTTAGATTAGACTCACTCTATATACTCTACACTTGTCCTACTCTCTCTGTCTGACTGATTTACAAGTTCTACATCTGTTCTAGTACTTGCATCCTGACCTTTCTGTTGTATAGGATAGTTGTAGCTTGGGTCCCCCTGCTGAGCCTCCAGGTCCTCTATACTGTTGCTAATACAACCAGTATTAGTATCAATGTCATATTAGTGTAACTATGTACCTTGCTAAGGCTTATGGATTTCGAATTTCAAGAGGCATAAATATAGTATAAATACTGGCATACAGATTATATGTACAAATTAAGGCTGACTTTCCAAATTTTAGTCAATATAATGTGTCTTAATGTAATATAAAATGTATTTATTAACATTGTTGCCTTGAACACACATAACTATCAGTATCAATATTACCTAGCAGCCTCGAAATTAATAATGTATTGGATCATTGTACGTACATATCATCAGCATGTATCCTGTCAAGCCCGTGAATTTCGAAATTCGGGAAGTATAAATAGAAGTGTTGGTATGCAAATTACACAGAGATTTACACATATATAAATTGCGATGTTTGATATTACACAGCAATCTCAGCACGGGCCCGTAGGAGTTCTCTGTAGTAAGAAACGTTGACAGATGACTTGTTTGGGTAACATCAAGGCCCAAGGAGTGGGATGGAGGGATGGAGCAGCTCCCAGATGATCGTCGGGAGAGTTACAATGATAGTCCGTGAGGTCGTGGCGTCGGACGCTTGCGAGTGCCGTTCTGTACACATGTCATTGACAGGTATGGAGTGTACCTGTATCACTGCGTGGAGTGTCAATCCTTATTTATGCGTGACGTACGCTGAGAAGACCGGGTCGGGTGAAACAAGAAACACAGACAGCTAGAAGGGACTCTGGAAGACAGATGAGACACTTGCCTGACCAGACGTGTCCTCAAGTGGTGTGGTGATGATGCGGGGAGTTCGAGTGAAGCAATGCTGAATTAATCGTGTTGTCGGCTACAACAATGAATGAAGATAAGCTGAGCGGGGTGGCGAGTTGTGCTCATCTGTGATTATAACACTGAGTGCCTGGTGTGGCGAGCCTGAAGTATCAAAGGAATATAAATTGAGAAAAGCAGGATCCAAGAGAGAGATTCACAGAAGGAGGGACGAGGATCTGCAGGAAGTAGGAGAACTTGTGTAGTGTTGGAAGTGATGATGATGAGAATTCAAGAGTAGAGAAGCGAGGCAAGTTGATCGTGTTGGCTGTAACAAGTGCTACAAGGACTAGCACGAGGCGGCAAGGTGGCGAGTGTTGACCTCAGGTGGTCGTCAAGCCGTCAAGCTGTAAGAGGGCTCCGAAAAGAAAAGAAAAGAAATCCCATCTGGTATACTTAACAACAACATTGAGAGTGCCTGGCGCAGCGCGGCGAGGTGCAACGGACATTCAGTTCTTCAGAATTCATCTTCATCTCAGGGAAAAGCAAGATCAAGAATCACAATGCGACGGGGGGGGGGGAGATCCAGAGAAGGGGGAAATCAGGAAATCAGGAAATCAGGAAATCAGGAAGTCGGATCCGCGGGAAGTAGGAAGGTACTTGAGTAGACGCGGCGCAACCGAGTGGATAACCGACTGGCGTCAGAGCTGTGCATCATGTATTCATGATGTTGCGACTGAACTGCATAGTGATGTTGGGTGGTGATAATAATGATATTGGGAGGAGGAACGGCGACGCGGCGCGGTGTGAGCTCTGTTTGTTGTGTAGGGAGATAACATCGTAATGTCGGGAATATGTGGAAATGCATGTTATTCTTATTACATGTGTGGTAGTGGCTTGAGCTTCGAGAAAGAAACGAAGATGACGAGACATGTCAATGACACTGGTGATAGTAAAATTGGCTTTGACTTCCAGGAGAAACGCGTGTCATTCCAGCCAGAGACACAGAGCTCTAGACGCCAGCAAGCGAGACGTGGCGGAGTCGCGCAGTCACGCAGTCAAAGAGGGAGGGCGACGACGTGAGAATGCGATGGTGATGCACGTCGTAACATTAACACCGTTGCCATTCTGTCAGCGCCACCACACCTAGATTCGGAAATTCATTTACGATTTTACGATGAAGAGATAATATTGACGCGCGCAACAATAGAGAGTGAATTATTCACACGGCTACAGCCGGGGCCGTGTGTGCATCGATCGACGGTGTCGCTAGGCGTCAGGGTCGGTTGCCACACCCACTCATTCTTATAACGCCAGGGTAACTCTCGTGCACTGCTCTACCTCCCCCCGTCGTCGTCTTCCTTTCGTCTTCCCTCCCTCACTTTCTTTAACTGAGAGCCCGGTGCTTGCTTCATTCTTTATTCCCCTTTTATTCGCTGCATATACGCATTCGCATTTCATAGACGCAACTCTTCCTTTTTTATTATTTCGGATTTGGATTTCGGATTTGAATACGCCAAGGAAATACGATCGACCGACCGACACACACCCCCACGCTCCACGCGCTAACCTAACCAACTCACGGGCATTCTCGCAGTCCGTTTGGTCGGCTTAAAGTCCTCTCTCTTACCCTCGCCAGAGAGAAGCACGACTCTCTCTCTTTCCCAACCAACTCGGCTTGCTTCCTATTTCTGTTCCGCGTCCGGCACGCCTCACGGAACACCACGCACACACACAACTTTACATTAAATCTCCCCTTGTTGTACTCTTTTGTACTCTACCATCTCTCTCTCACCTCACCACAATCAACCACACATAACGCATAACGCTTAACACACATCTTCCCTCGCGATATGTCCCTCAAAGCCGAACTCGAGACATGGGCCTCAGCGCTCAAGGCCTACGACGAAGAAGATTTCGAAAAGGCTCTCGACCTCTTCAGCCGGATCGCTGACTCTTCCAAGATCCTCACTAATATGGGGTTGATTTACGCTACGCTTGGTGAACATGAGGCTGCTGTGGAGCAGTTTAATGCTGCGACGGGGTTGGATCAGTATTTGGCTGTTGCGTGAGTTTCTCTTTCTCTCTTCTCTCTTCTGGTTTCATTGTCTCCGTCTCGTGCGTGCCAAGATGGATTGGTGAAGATGGAGGGGAGGGAGTACGGGCGATGAATGATCGTCGAGGGTCGACGGCGGCCGCATTGCCTGGTGGCTTCCATGCCGTCGTCGTCCAGTTCCTCCGAAACTGCGCACCGCGAGACGGGAGAAATTTCATCTCATCTCATCTCATCTTACGTAACATTACAACCCAAACATAATCACCTTTCTAACTAACAATTCCCTTACCATTTCCATATCGCTATAGCTACTTCCAATGCGGCGTCTCCAACTTCCTTCTAGGTCGATACGACCTCTCTCTCCGCGACTTCGAAGAAGCGCTTCTCTACCTTCGTGGGAACCAAGCTATCAACTACGAGCAACTCGGTCTTAAATTCAAGTTGTTTTCGGCGGAGGTGTTGTTTAATAAGGGGTTAAGTCAGATTTATTTGGGGAATGTTGATGCTGGGTTGATGGATATGCAGGATGCGAGGGGGGAGAAGGCGACTGATGAGCATAATGTTATTGATGATGCTATTGCGGATAGGGGGGAGGGGTATACGGTTTTTAGTATTGTGAGTATCAGGTTATTTGCGAGTGAGTTTGGTCGGATGTTGATGTTGATGGGTTTTGTGTTTTCGTAGCCTGTGGGAGTGTTATACCGACCATCGGAGAACAAACTCAAGAACACGAGGACGAAGGATTACATGGGCAAAGCTGTACGTCTCATTCCCCCTTCCTTGTCCTCTCTTCACACCTAATCTAACCTTCGTCGCTCGGAATAGAAATTAATCGCAACAGACAGCGTCGACGAAGCATACACCGAATTCACAGGCGTCGCTCGAAAGGCACGTGGGTTCACAGGGACAGGTGCACCTATCCCCGACAACTCCCTCAGCTCTTTCGACTCTTTGGAAAGTGCGGCGGGGCTAGGTAATTTGAGTAGAAGTCAGACTGTACCTCCGCCACGCGTGACGGTGGATGATACGAGGCCTGCGGGGTTGATGAGGTCTAGGACGGTGTTGCCTGTTGCGGATCGTTCGCAACAGCAGAATGTCAATCCTAATAGTCCGAATGGTCGCGATGGAGGTATGGGTGGAGGAGGAGGAGGGTTGCAGAGAAGTTTGACGACGAGTGCGAGGTCGCCGATGTCTCCTCCTGGTGGGTCCGGCCCAACACGTGCGCTCAGCGTACGAAAGAACGGTATGGGTATGGGTCAGCAAAGGTCGCCTACTAGCTCCGCTCCCCCTCCTCCACCCGAGAAGAACGATGGCAATGGTACCGGTAATGGAGGGCCGATGCGCATCACAGAGATATACGACGACTACATCGGCGGGTACGCCGACGACGCTCCTCCTCCTATGCCTATGCCACCTGCTGCACCTCAGCAGCGCGTAGCAGCATGGGCTAGGAATAACGCCAACCCGGCGAATACACCTTCGAGAGCGCCGAGTACGCGTGCACCGTCTGCTTATGGGTCGTTCTCTTCTTCAGGTGCGAGTCTTCGGAGGAAGCCCACCCGCCGACCTACTATCGGTGGTGGAGGTGGAGGACCTGGATCGACTCGAGGTCGACCAATGTCACCCTACGAAGAAGAAGAAGAAGGATACGTCTCAGGAGAATACGACGAACCCATCATCTACGAACTCACAAAGATTCGAGTCAAGCTACATTACCAAGATGACGTGCGTGGTATGACGCTCTCACCTGAAACCCCATGGGAAGAGTTTAGAGAGAAGGTAGCGGGGAAGTTTGGGAGAGGGGTGGAGGAGTTGGGAATGAAGTTTTTGGATGAGGATGGGGGGAAGGTGACGTTGAGGGATGATTCGGATTTTGAGTTGGCTGTTGAGACTGTTAGGGAGATGGCGAAGGGACGGATGGAGGGGAAGTTGGCTGTTTGGGTTTCGGATTTGTAAGATGTGAGAGACGTCCCCCGTGCCTTGTGCTGTTTATCGGTTTGCCGTCCTCGCTTGATCACCTTATGTCGCCTGGCCAATTCACGTCTCCCTTTGTCGTCGTCATTCTTGTTATCTATCCTACATCTTGCTCTCGTCGTTCTTGGTCTCCTGTCTTGGTCTCCCATCTTAGTCCTTGGTCTCCTCGCTGCTCATCGTCAGTTTCGTCCATTGTGTTTTGCTCTCTTAATGTGTTGTAATACCCCCCGGTTAACCTATCTTGTCTTCCTCAACTCTCCCTAGGCCTTTCTCATCTTCTTCTTTAATTCTTACATGATCTTCGATATGCTCAAACCAAATTATCCGTAGCCCAAACTCATCCAATAAATATTCAATATTTCGATATTTTTCCACAAAGACCTATCACATCAACTTCGTGTTGCCATCACTGTGTTTGATTTTTTCTTTCGGTTTTTTGGAAGTTTACTTACTTACATTAGCAACCCTGTCTTGTAGAGTACTCTTCTTATTGAGTTTTCGTATTCAAAGTGGGAGTTGATATTTGGTTTGATATTGATAAACGGAAATGAATCATTGTTTCCTTCTTACCTTTTCAGTTTCAGACTCGGACAGCCAACGTGAAAAGGTAGTAAGTACTAGTGTGGACACGTAGGCTGTTGAGTTCTTGTACAATAAAGAATCGAGCTTAGTGACGTAGTGAGATAACAATCTATTGTTTAAAAGTTCCATCTTCATCTATTGTTCTATTTTATATTAAATCAACTACTATTTTATCTCTATAATTTATTGTCTATCATTTTCCTTTATTCTATTCCTTTTTCTAACCAAGGACAATGCCAGAATGCTGCCTTCTAAGAATTTGACATACTGTCACGTTTCTTAGGCTGTATAGTCAGTTTTTGACTTCCATAAGCTGTACCCTTTGTACTACTGCTTGAAGCTCTATGTTTGCCTGAACTTGACTTTCCAGAAGCTTTCTGTTTTCCTTTACCTTTCTTAGTTTCATCTTGGCTAGATTCTAATTGTTTGTTTGTTTGTTGGTTGGTTGGTTGGTTGGTTGGTTGGTTGGTTAGTTGTCTAAAATATTTATTCTTTACTTTAGTTACTACTTACCTGTATTACTACTAGCACTTTGAACTGTATTAATTGTAGCTAGGAGCTCTTGTTCAAAAGGACTTCTTTCTATGTGTGCACTGTTTAGCCACTAGTTGTTTATTATAATTAAAAATAGTGATTTACTGTATTAATCTTTATAAACTTACAGGATGTTTAAGTGCATCTATTGCAGACATTCTTTCTTTTGGATCTGGTTTTAGGCATTGGTACATAAAGTCTAGCCCTATTAAACAATATAAATAAACAAGAATATAATGGAAAAGAATAAAGCTTACCATCAGAAGATATCCCTTTCAACCAGTCAGAATCTTCAGAATGCAAAAGAGTATAAATCCAATATTTATCTCTGCCAATTATACTTGCTAATTGTGTCTCATTGAAAGCATCAAAGTTGTAGCGTTCCATTCCCTTGTGTTTGGGTCTGTCCTTATTGAGGAAATACTTGACATTGGCAAGAAAGTCACACCCTGCTAGGAAAGTATATGTAGTAACTCTAAGAAAAAGGGTCAGTAGCTAAATAGAAATCAATTCGAAAGTTGTTAAATCACCCTATAGACCACATGTCTACTTTGTCTGTGAACGGATCCTCAGGATGAAGCAACAGTTCTGGAGCATAATATCCGTCTGATCCACGAACACCACTTGCCTTTCCGTTTGACCCTTTCTTAGCTAGACTAATATAGACTCAATTAGTGAGATTTCTTAGTAAACTATATAGGAGAGAGCCAGTTTACAATCCAAAATCACCGAGAACAATTATTTGTTTAGTTGATGTGTAAGAAGGAGTTGCTTTGAATGTTATAAGCATATTCTCAGCTCTGTAGAAAATCGCGTAATCAATAAAAAAAATGGAATTGGAGTGTGTCGTTAAATAATAGTCTACTCACTTCACGTCCCGATGTATGTATTTCGGATGAATATGAGCGAGCACCAGGCACGATTGTCTACAAAATCGAAGCCGATTAGAACGTTACATAATAAGGAATAACCGCATGAAGCAAGTACGTGTTCATCAGGATATTTGCCATGTTTTGCATTATATGCCCGAAAGTAGTTAAAGACGTCTCCCTGTTCTGCATATTCAGTAATTATGACCCAGTATACAGGAGCTTGAAATAGGCCATAGCAGTATAGCTAGTATGTATCTCTTGGTGTTAGAAGCTCCCTTCGTGTACTAGTAGAAGGAGGAAGAGACGTACAATATGTGGATTCTCACGGCTGAGTTTCATCAAGTGATTAGCTTCCTGCTGTACAAAAGCTTTTGTATTTTGTTGTTCTTTGACACTTAAGCTTCCACCGTCACGTTTACTGTATCTGGGAACCAGCTTGGCCGCAAATTTTCCTTCACCGCCTATTTCTGCTTTGATACCCGCGTGTTCTACTAACTACAGCATGTGGAATGGAGTATCAGCATATCGGATCAAACTCATTGTAGTATCTTCTCGGAGTTGATGAAAGAGCAACATACGAATATGAATGACGACTTTCCCGTTCCCAGAGGCACTTTCTCTGATCTTCCAGGGGGGGCAAGTACGTTCAAGCAATTCTCTGTATTCTACAGGTCGTAGAGCTTCCCAGTGAGGTTAGTATTTAAAGTGATTGGTTTCAGTTTATCTATTCTAGGTAATACTAATGACGGTTGACTAGAGGTACTCATTGTTGTACGTCTTCTGTGATGTTGTTCTTAATCACCTTAAGTGTGAAAGATGTGCTGAACGGCAGTTGACTCTGCTTTTCCTTTAAATACGCAAAATGTGCTTCTAGTGCAAGGTTACTTTGCTAGTTGTAGTTGACGTCGTGACTGCTTCTTGCCCGCTTCTAAATATGCACAAATTGCGTTCTACACCAAGCTTATTTTGCAGGCCGAGTAATTGGCCATGGACCTTGCAGGAAGCAGAGGACAGAGAACTTAGTCAGTACACACATGTTGTTATTTGAACTGTGAACAGATACGCTGCATTAACACAGGGATTACTACTATATTTAAAGAAACTTGTTCTTCACGTAAGTTGGATTTTGCGCGATCAGGATGTATATAAGGTTGTGAACCTTGCTTTGTCTACCCTTGTAATCCCCTATAGAGTATTGTTGTTGCTGTGTATCTCTGACCGTGCTCTCTCCGTCCTAGCTTTTCCTCCGGCAGCTCCTACTGTTCCAATCTCTTAGCATATTGCTAACAACCGTGACTCACTACTCTACAGTCTATTTTATGTGCTCTTTTTGAGATTTAATCCCCCTCCTCACTGCCCTATACTATTTCGCTCTTATTTTCAATGTCAACATTGTAACAATCGCAGCTCCTTACTAGTATATCTTTCTCTTCTTGCTACCTGGATCCGTCTCAACTCGATAAATATCAACCTCTGAAGCCGTCGTCAAAGTCCAGCCAATCTGGGCTTTGTAAAGCACTGATTGACTGTGCTTATTACATGAAGCCTAGATTAATACTGACCTTCAGAATATTTCTTCGACTTGTCTCATCAAACTCATTGGTTATTATCTTGTCTGAAAGTCTTGAGCAAATACAAGAAGATTGTGTTTCTTAGAAAGATTTGTGCACAATATGTACATTAATCAATCAAATTGAGATTGCACAAAGTGCAAATCTACATTATTGAATTCTGTTCATTATTCTATTTTTTATCTGTTCTATTACTAAATCTTTGTAAACTACTGTTATCTCGTTCTTTCACACTTATTAATAGCTGCCTTAGATGGTGGCACCTTGAAAGACAAAGCCCTTCATTATTTCTTCTTACCTTGTATAGTCAGTGAAGAATGATGTTTTGTACTGTTTTGTCTATGTTCATGCTTATCCTTTCTATTATTACTTGTAGTAGAACTGGAAGATGGTCTATCTGTTTGACTATGGCTGTCTTTCCTTTTATGTTCTTTCTCATCTTGACTGGATTCTAATAGCTAATTAATATTTTAAGAAAGTATTATATCTATTAATTTCTCACCTGTCTTACTACTGTCAACTTCTTTATTAGTTGTCTGATATTGTACTTCAAAGGGACTTCTTTCTACATATTCATTGTTTAACCACTAAATATTATAGTAAGTAAAAATGTTTAGTTGCTTATGTTGAAACAATACAAACATACTGGGTGAAGAAGTGCTCTTCTTGCAGAAATTCTTTTAGTTGGATCTGGATGCAAGCATTTGTAAATAAAGTCTTTTCCTATTTAAAAATACAACATATTAACCAATGTCTCAAAAGGAAGAGGATAAAGCCAACCTTCATTAGATATCTCAGTTAGCCAGTCTGAATCTTCAGAATATAAGAGACTATAGATCCAATATTCACTTGAGCCAATTATGTATGCTATTTGTGTTTCACTTAAGTTATCAATATCATAACTTTCTATTTCCTTATGTTTATGCTTAACCTTGTCAAGAAAGTACCTAACATCATTAAGAAAATTGCATTTTGCTAGAAAGGTGTATGTTATAACTCTAAACAATAATAAGAATCACTAAATACACAGAAATAATTTAGTTTCTTACCCTATAGCCCACATATCTACTTTGTCTGAGTATGGTTTATTACTATTCAGTAGCAACTCTGGAGCATAAAATCCTGTTGACCCAACAAAACCTTCTGCTTTCCCTTTAGAATCTTTCTTAACCATACTAATATATATAATTAATAAGCTTTCAAGGCCGACTCAGAGAGAAACGACTTACAATCCAAAATCACCGAGAACGGTTATTCCTTGCAGTGAAGTGAAATCAGGAGTTGCTTTAGATGTTCTTAGCATATTCTCAGATCTGTAGAAGTTGTATAATCAACAAAGAGGAAATTGAGCCGTATTGTTGAATAGCACTCTACTCACTTTATGTCTCGGTGTATAAATCCTTTACAGTGAATATAATCAAGTGCCAAGCACGATTGTCTATGAATTCCGAGCCAATTAGAAAATTAATATGAAATAATGTATCCAAATAAATGACCTAATGTGTGATGCTATTATACTTTCGGCAGGGCAGTTGTCATTATGTGTTGCCCTGTATCCTGTATAGTAGTTAAAGACGTCGCCTTGTTCAGCATATTCGGTGAGAATGACCCAATATACAGGGTTCACAAATAGACCGTAGCAGTATAACTGGCATGCACGCCTTAATGTGAGCCACGCGTGTCGAATGGGAGGGTAAAACAACATACAATATGTGGATGCTCGTGGCTCAGTTCCATCAGATATTTGGCTTCTTTCTGTGCAAACTCTTTTGTGTGCTTCTGTTGTTTGCTATTCAAAGAACCACCCCCAGGAAAAGTGTATCTTGGGATGAGCTTGGCTGCAAGCTTTCCCTGGACACCTGTTTCTTTGATACCAGCATGATCTACTAGCTACAGCACAAAGCAACAGCACAAAACAAGTGTATTAGGATGTCTTGCAGAATCGTCCCAGAGAATAAGTGGGAGTGGCGTACGAATATGAATGAAGACTTTCCCTTTCCCACGGGCACTTTCTGTGATTCATGGGGGGGAGGAAGTACGTTCAAGCACAGATTCTCTGTCTCCAATAGAGCACGTAACTCCCCTTTCACACCATCATTTAATTTAATTGCCTTTAATTTGTCTATTCTTGGTAATACTAGTGCTTGCTGGCTAGGTGTACTCATCACTGCACCTCTCCTGAGATGACGTTCGTAACCACCGATGAATGAAAGATGCGTTCAAGGACAGTGATGTCACTTCTCTGTTGTCCATCACCCACCTGAGGCCGTAGCTTTATACGCAAATTTTATTTTTCATCAATTAAATTTGCTGATTATGTACTGAACTTACGGACCTTGCTGAAAAAAGCAGGTATATTACGGACCAGGATGGATGTTTGCAATGATTGGTTGTCGGCTTGCAAAGTCTCAAAAAATGTTGTAAGGAAATATTCACTTACAAACAGTGAAACCGACGCATGGCTGGATCCTGCCACCCGCTTACTTATTCGTCGATCCAATTGACTGTTCATCACATGATATGATATAAAACACGTCCCTGCCAGAGTTGCAGACTCTCCCACATTCTCAACTTACCAGCCAGTGACTGTTAGTTGCGTCTGAGTTGGTCTGACATCCGCCATTAACAGAACCCTTGACTCCACAATGGCCTAGGCAGTGATCGGAAAGAAAGACTACGTCACTAGAACGACTCTAGATCGCAAATGCAACGCAGGACAACACGGTTATTTACTGTAACAGTACCTGACTGACTCTGACTTATGTCCTTCACACACATGCAACAATATCCTTATGCTGGGACTATTCGTCCCAAACTCTAGACCTGCACAGTCTTGGGAAAACTAGCTCAAGTAGCTCCTTAATACCGTTGGCCCCAATGTACGTCTAACAGGTTATCGTTTACCTACAGACTCGTTGGAGCGATGCGCGTCGCATAAGCTTGGCTTTCTTATACATGCCTTAAAAGCCATTAATCCCACAAGAGCAAACGTGTTGAAAAGAAGCCTTCTGATGGAAAGCCAGGTTGAGACATTCATGATGCTAAGACAAGGGCAGTGTATATGCAAAGTGCGACTGTTGTTGAGTTTGCAGACCATGGCAAATGGTTTGTGATATGACATCTTATATAGTGAGTCCCAATTTACTTATTCTCCTTTCGAGCTTGTGTCTCATTTCTCTTGATTGATTTAGTTTGCTATGTTGCTTTCCAGGAAGTGAAGACATTAGTCAATATGAATGGAAATTCAGAAGTTGCCTGCTTATCATGGTTCTCGACTAGCTCTCTGTATAACAGAATCCGTTAGCACTGGCTGATCTCGCACAGAATCCACTAACCTCATGCATGCAAAGCTGTAGAGTGTACGGAGAAATGCATTCGATCGGACAGTACACCAGCCGGTATCATTCGTATGATACCATTTCTGCAGGAAGCTATGAACGACATGTGCGCTTCATATTTGGGCCTATAACGGAATGTCCGTAAAGTCTATTCGTTGAGTGTCTATAGTGTTGATGGAGGTCGGAATTGCTGCTCAACTACAAAGCAACTTAGTGATCAGACATGGGTGGATGAGCGTGCGTATTGGTCCCCACACACTGTACAGATGTGTCACGATTACTTTCGTATATGCCAATGCCTGTCGAACGATAGTATGTATTCTCTAGTCGTTCATGGCTCGATCTTATCTTCTAGAAATCTGAAGGGAAGCTCACAAGAACTGTCACAGAAAATAGTGGACGTGGTGTAATTCAACATAATATTAATAGTGTGATATGAAAGGTACGTAAATGAGGAATATGACGAATTCTTCGTAGCAATCCTCTGCAAGAACTGTGTCCTGTCAAGCTGCTAGGGTGACATACGGGAAGTGATGATGGGGCCCTGCTGCTAGACGGGTCCCAGAAAGTGCTGATTAGGAACGTTTTGAGATAGGCTGAGGAGCTTGGGTTGAAGGGAGTGAGACTAAGGATAAATAGAGCAAAGTCCAAGGCAGCCGGTAAAAGTAGTGCAACGAAAGTTATACAGAGTCGGACACGGAAGAGTCTACAGTGAAGTTCGAACGTGTATCACACACAATCAGAACGCGCTTGATTCATTATTGTATCGATATCCTATTTACAGTCTCTATTGTGAACGGCTCTTTATATGCCTCCCTCTTTTCTCTGACTTTAAAAGTAGTATTTTTATGTACAACCTGTAAAGCCAGCTTTTCATTTGTACACTGTTTGCTATCATCTACATGGACACGCATGATCCACTTGTATCTGTCGAACTTCTCTTTTTACTTCCATGTCGTTCTAGGCTTCCTTGTAGGATCCCTTCCAGTTGCTTTTGGGCAGGTGAGATATGCTTATCTTGGTGTTCACCATCTGCGTTTTTATTACTCTTTTTCCCTGCAGATCCATCTTGGCTAGATGATCCTGACTGCATTCTACTGTGCCAGGAATGAGCATGTTTTTTCTCAATATCCCTTTTTGCTTTTCGTGCCATAACCTTTCCAGTAGCTTTTCTCCATGTACCTTTTACTTCAAAATCATGCCTTATAGCCTCTTCTATACTTTCTTTGTACAACCACTAAGCGTTTTCTAACATTACACAGTTGTACCTATTATTTTAAATGTACAATGACTTACGCTTATGGGTTGTGTTAGTGCATCTTTTGCAGATATTCTTCTACTCGGGTCTCGTTGTAAGCATTGTCTTACAAAATCAATTGCTAGCAGATGAATAATTAAATGTATCCTTTTGGATAGTACAGGCCCCATCCTACCTTTGAAAGACACTCGTGGTCTACCTTTAGCTAGACGTTTGTTTTGTTCTCGTTCTATGAAATAATCAATTATAAGTGTTTTCTGTAGCTGTGCTGTATATTCATAATGATTATCTGTTATTAATTTTACAATAGTTCCTGGCCTGTGTTCCTTTGGAATTCCCCATTTTTCTCCGATAGTTGGATAGAGCATTGCATTAAATAGAAGGCCAAATGTTGTTACTCTGAAAAAAGTATGTAATTATCAAATTTACTTATAATAAATAAAAAATTTAACTGACCCAATTGACCACATATCTACTTTATCAGTACATTCTGTTCCAGATTCTAGTAAAATCTCTGGAGCAACATAGTTTTCTGTACCAATTACACTTGATACTTTCCCAGTACTATCTTTCCTAGATAAACTATTATAATGAAATAATTGAATAAAACATATTATTATTTTATAACATACAACCTACTATTGTAAATCACCAATAACAAGTAATTCGGTTTGTGAAAGGTAGATAGGTTTTTTCTTATTTATTATAAATAAATTGTCAGGTCTGTTGAATATAGTTTTTAATTTAGTAATGTTTTAGCACTGTAAATTTATTACACAAACTTTATGTCCAAATGAACATATTCTCTATGCAGAAAAGCAACCCCCTCACACAACTGTCTATAGAGTAAAAATCAATTGCTTAACTTATTATTTATTAATTTTAAAATGTATACCTAGTATAATATGCAAGTCTTGCCTCAGGAAAGTACTTGTTTTCTTTTAAGAAAAGACTTAATAAGTCTCCATACTCAGCATACTCTGTGACAAGACACCAATAGTCATTATTCTCGAATACACCATAACAGTTTAGCTGCCAATTGTCTATTAGATATTTTAAACAAAATATGAAAGTAATTAAACCTATACAATATGAGGATTTCTATGACTGAGTTCCATTAAGTTATAAGCTTCTTTTATTGATTTATTTTTTGTAACTTGTATTTCTTCTTTTTTCAGTTGTCTACCTTCTATATTGTACCTTTTAGGTATAATCTTTGCTGCAAACTCGGCTTGTCCATCGTACTCCTTGATTTTCCCTTTAATACCCTCATGTACAACTCTCTATACAAGATAGAGTAAATATTGGTGTGACTTTCTTTAGAGAAAAGGCTAACGTTAACTTGTACTTACATACACAAGACCAACTGCCCCTGTTTGCAGTGGCTGGACAGTATCTTTGTCAGGCGGAGGTAACACTGTTAAGGTCAGGTTCTCCTTTGTCCATTCGTTATCGAACTTCGCAGTCGAACCCTCTCGTAATTTGATGACATTCAAGTCACTGATCACGGCTGCTTCGGCTATTTGAGTGGAAATACTCATCTTGATTTAGCTGCTCAGATATTGACTCCTGTTGTGGTGAACGTAGAATGCGATGAGGTACCACTTTGTTCCCTGTGCTGTCCTCTTATGTGTTTGTTTGTATTTACTCCTGCGAATTACATTGCTCATGATGGCTGCTTTCCTAACTTTGCCGATCATGCCGAAATCTTGCAGAAACAAACAGCATCTAGACCGAATACTCGTGCTGTCATTGATCCTTTGCATGTGCAACCATTCCGCATCAATACTGTCATCCCGGCTGTGCTGCATTTGTGAAGGATAATAACTCATACAGGGGAATTCTCCGTGTATTTTATTATTATTACAGAATTGGGTATCGTGGAAGGCGCTGAACGGTTCTGTTGAGCAGCTGCCAGTGTTGAGAAGCCCCTGTGCTCCTGTGTAGAGTGTGTAAGCGATATTCGGATTGTGAACATCCCGTCCCCCACAACTACTCCGAACTGTGCACACAGGCCACGTTAGCAAAGGTAGTATTCATGTGTACCACAGTAAGCCGCAGTCATGCATGCAAAGTACTTCCGTCTTAGGCTTGTATAGGGACTGGTGTGGTATCCGCCACCGTTATCCGCACTAACTATCCGCGGATAAGCCATCCGCGGATGAATTTTCCCACGGATACCGCAGTAACCGCGGATGACCATACCTCCACCTCTATAATTTTTGTACTTCTGTAGGTCTTATCACACATTTTGTAATTACATGAAAAACAACGTGTATTATTTAATCTAGTAATTATTGTGAGTATATCAACAAGAAAATATATAGAGAATAAACATAAATAAATAAATAAATACTAGTATAATTAAGTGAAAATGTAATAAGAAGAATTATGTAAACTTGCAGTTTCACCAGTCTCTTGATTATGTAATATCTCTCCTTGCATACTCCTTGTCTTGTCTCACTCATTGAAGACTACTGTTGACTGTTCTATGTTTTAGTGTAGAATTGGCTCTAAATTAGTATAAGAGGTTTTTGCCTCTATAAATTTATAAGTATTATTAATTCTAAGAACTAACAGTTATATGAGAAATGAAAGTATTTAAAGTATAGTTGCTAATGTTTGGTCCTGGACCTAATAGACCCAGGTTGACCCTAGGACCAAACCTGAGGTCTAGGTCACAATAGGTCTAGTCTAATCAGGTTCAGTTCCAGGTCTAGAAAATACAGGCATTCACTAGTCCTTTAAACACAACCTTTTGAACCCTCTGTATAATTTTTTATACAAAAATTTTCTTGTTTTTTTCTATTATATACATTCTAGACTATGATTAGTATGCTATGTAAAAATTGTACAGGTATAGAGTGTCCCAAAAAATTAATAGAGAGGCAAGAAAAAATGAGGGAAATGTCACAAAAAGCACTCCTTTGAACAGACTGTGACTCTTGTCACACTGGCATGCTCCAACTATCCTACCAACTAGGGATCTGAGTGTACTGTATACAGGTACAACTGTACTCTGTACAGGCCTGTACAGGGTACAGTTGTAAAAATACAACTGTTTTTTGAGTTCTAGGACACAAGTACAGCTACAGTGTGTACTGTATACAGCTGTATACAGTAATACACTTGTAAATACAAATTTAATATTATATTAATAGAAAGAAATAATTAATATACTTTAAAATCGTTAAAAATGCCTATTATTACTTTATATGTATGTCCCTATCAAATTAGCACTTGTTATACCCATTTTCATCAATATATTCAGTAAATCTGAAATATAATTTGTATGAAGTAATAAAAGATAGTCACATGACTAACTATTTTGAGAAGATAAATAATATAATATTAATACATTGACCCTAAGATTAGCTAAATTTGGTGTTTTTATGTATAAAAGGTATATTATAAGGTATACAAAGAGAAGAAATAGTTATAAATTGTGCTACACATGTTATTAATACTGAAAATCTTCTTTGGATGTCTGTACTCTGTATACAGCCATATACAGCTGTATTTGGCCTAATAGGATACAGGATACAGCCTGTTTTATACAAGCTGTATTTGGTGTCTCAAAGTCTAGTATGAGTACAGATTGTACTGTGACCAAAACAGGTTGTAACCATACTGTACAGTATGATTCAGATCCCTACTACCAACTCCTCCTAGGCCCCTGTCTCTCTCTGTACAAAATTTCCTCCTCTTGAAAGCTGCTAGCTTATTTCTATTCACTCCTATGACTCTTGGAACTCTTGGATCCATCTTGTATCACACCTACACAGGTCTAGGTCACATTCACTACATCCAGACACTACTTCTGTACATACAGCTGTCTTATTCTCCTGTGCTTTAAGGACTTGTTTCTGGACTTCCTGCTTTGTCAAACAAGTTGGTCTAGGATCCTAATATACTTTAGGGAGGCCTTCTTCTTCCTACTAAGTACATCTTGCTAGCCAATTCTGTGTTTCTACTTAATAGTGTGTCCTAACCCTTTCCTATTCCTTCTCAATAATTTCATTAATGTCTTTCTTCTTCCTAGCTTTGTCTTTTCGTGCCTGGGCCTGCATTTCTTCCTTCTCCTTTGTATCCCTGTACTGTCTGAGCTGTTTACAGGCCTGCTAGGATGTAAAGATCTTAAGCATTCTACTATTAAAGATGTGTACATTTTCTACTCCTTTTCCCTTCTCCTTCTCATTCAGTACTCCTTATAGCTTTGTATTATGTATGGTAGCAAGTACAAGCTAGGCCTGAGCACTCTCAGTAATACTCTGGTTGATTTGTATGTACTAACATACTTGGATCAGGTTCTTAGTAAGTTCAGTAATGTCTTTGCCTGAATGAGTACTTACTAATAGCCTTTCCAAGCATCCTTCTACTTTCTTCCAATTAGGAGTCCTAAGAGTGTCTAGGACTCTCTCTAGTACAGGTGGAGGCAGATTGTGCTTTGTAGTAACATACTCTTTTGAGACTAGGAAACTTGCTGATTTTGACACTACTAGAGACAAAGACACCAACTGTATACACTTTAAGAGTGTAAAGAGTAACAGATTAATGGATGGATCAATAGTAGGAGTAGTAGACTGGTACATAATAATACTACTGTCATGAGAACTGGTCTGCTCACTTAGTAATGTGTATGTGTGGCTAGGTGCTAGAATATGTGTTAAGATGTTAACATTAAAGCCTGTAGACTTTTGATAGTAATATACAGCTATTATCTGGCAAACAGGAGTTGTGAGAGGTAACAGAAAGGTTGATAATATTAAGGACACCTTACTCAGCTTTATCTGATCACTCATAATAATAGTATGTGTTACAGTTCTCTACTCTTGTACCTTCAGTTCTAAGAGTTCTGCACTCTTCTGTACTAGAACTTAGGACTTCTGTCCCTCAGAGGTACTGTCTATAGACTATATACATACTGACTCTTACTACTACCCTTCCTTACTTCATCATTCTATTCCTTTGACCACCCCTTCATTCCTTGTTCATTCTATAGTCTCTTACCCTTTGTCTATCCCTTCATTCTTTGTACCTTTATCTTTGACCTTCCTTTCTTTCATTCTTTGTAGCTTATCATTCTTAGTAGCTCATACTCTCTGAGTACTCTTGTGTAGTTTAGTATATATAGGTATACAAGATTAGACTGGTCCTGTAGTCTTGATCTTGTCTACTCTAGGTAGTCCTGTACTCTTAGGCTCACTCTATATACTCTACTCTTGTCTTACTCTCTCTCTCTACCTGTTCTGTAAGTTCTGACTATGTTTTAGTACTTACATTCTGTATTTCTATTGTGTAGGATAGTTGTAGCCTGAGTCTCCTCACTAAGCCTTCAGGTCCTCTCTACACTATTACTGACATCAGATCAAGACTACCTATTACCACCCTACAACTCTCCTACATTTTGAGCATTAGTACTTACTATTGTATTAATCTCTTTTCTTTGTTCTAACCCTTTTACATTTTTAAATTTTAAACTTTTTAAACCCTTTTAAACTTTTGCCACCCTTCTTCTATTCATTACCCCTTTTAGTTTAGTGCTGATTCCTTTGTAGTGTAAACATGGACCCTTCTACACTGACTGTTACCCCTACTGTCCTACTAGATTAGCAGTTATGAGTAGAACTAGCTCAATACATACAGACCTCTATCTAAGAGGCCTTACTAACCACATAC